GTTTCCTTGGAATATAGTTTTAGTCTTTATTCCATTCTCTTCCTTTGGGTTTCTTCTCTGGAAACTCCTATTATATGTATGTTAGATCTTCTTTGCCTATCTTCTACATACATCTGTATCTCAAATACTTTTCCTTTCTCCATTTCTTTTTGATTTTTAAATGTTTCCTCTTATATTTTATTTGCTTGTGTTCCTTATGCTTTAGTCTTCATTTCTGAAACTTTCTTTTCTAATTTTTTCTTGAGTTTGATCATCTCATTTTTCAGTTTTTCTAATTCCTACTTATGTTACTCTTTCATACACTGTATCTTTTAAAAATGACTTTTAGGGACTTCCCTGGCAGTCCAGTGGTTAAGACTCTGTGCTTCCACTGCAGGAGGCACAGGTTTGATCCTTGATTGGGGAACTAAGATCCCACATGCCATGTGGTGCAGCCAAAAAAATAAAATAAAAAATAGAAATGACTTTCAGCTAGTTTTAAAATATTAGGTAGAGTTCTCATCTATTTCATGGGCATATCTTTCTGGCACAACTACACTGTCTAAAGGAACATTATTCTATTTATTCTCTTTGTTCTTAAAATAATTTTGTATGGGCTTTGACCTTAATCCTATTCTTTTGCTCATTTTTATGTAAAATTAATTTTCTTAAACTTTTAAAAGGGAGGCTTCGTTTATAACAATATTTAAAATTTATATCTCTAGAACATCCCCCTCCTCTTCTTTTTCAAATAAGATGCTCAAAATATGGCAGTTAACTTTCAGAGATTTCCTGATTCTATTCACCTCCCCAATTTCTATCTGATCCATCTTTTCCCCTTGTTTCTTTCTATTGTCCCTGTACTGCTCACTTTGGATTCTATTCCAAACAGTTTCTCCTCAACGTAGGGTTCTGTCCATTAGGACATATTTAGGTGATTAGCTGGAGAGATTATAGGGCCTAAAGTACTCCAGCCCCTTTGGGTCTTACTGTGAATCCCTTGAACAACTAGAGTACACAATCCTTTCCCAGTTTCAATGTTGTAGTCAAATTGGCTTGCTGAGCTTTCAACTAACTGTCAGTTATTTTGAGTTATCAGGTCTATTAGATGCCCCAGTGGTTTTTATTGCCTCCCCTGGTATAGATGCTGATACCACACTGATTTTGTAGTTATCAGTGTTTTGCTCCCATTCATCCATATTTTGTGGTTTGTGGAGATATCTGATCACTTATATTTGTTATGAGTGTTGTACAGTGGTTTTTTATTTTGCCATCTTTAGTTTCTTTGCTATTTATAGTACAACATAAAGAGCTTGTATCAGAAATGAACATACTTCTTTCTTCACTGAGCTAGTCTTGCTACAAAAAAAAATACAGCTTATCTAAACTGTGTGCTTAGTGACTTGTACCACATTCTGGTACAAGTGCCTTATCTTGTGAACCAGATACAAAGGGTTCATGAACTAGCAGCATGTCCAAGAAGCACTGATTTATAGGCTTGTTTTAAGAAAAATTCAATATCAATTTGTAGGACAATTAGGTTAATTTAACAGTACTTCTTCAAAGTTCTTTGCTCAAATAGTTCTAAATCTAATTGATGATGGGGCAGTAAAGAAATACAGCAAGTAATGCCATGCTGAAGGTTTTTTTTTTTAATACTCAGTGTTAGCTTCATTACAAAATTTTGTGGTTCAGTTACTCATTGTGTATACAGAGAAATCTTTGTAAATTTTAACAACTACAGCTTTTATTTTGGTTGATAACATGTTGCAGCTTGTTTGAACACAGCTTTGAGTTACATGTGTACCATAACAATTCCAAAAACATTTTCTGCATATTTGTACTTTGTGAAATACTGTTTTTTATCATGGCATTACATGTATTATCAATGTAAAAACAATTGTTTTCAAAGCTGAACTTTTAGACTTAATTTAAATTGTACTTACAATAACGTAAGATGTTTCATCTTTGCTAGAATGACTTCCAAAAGCTTTCCTTTGATTACATTAATTGGGTGAAAAAAATTGAACATTATTGTAATTAACTGACTTCGTAGTTGAAGTATCTGATGGCAGTGATGTTACCTAACTCTACGGTTATTACCCTGCTAATAAAGTGAACACAGTAAAAGACAGGATTTGACGTTTTTATGTGGACAAGAAAACTCGGTACCAAAGATGCATGGAATTAACTCAGAAGAATTTAGAAGACATAAAAGAAAATTCAAGCTTCACAGGATGATATACAAATGTACTTTATGTAGTTGCACTTGTTAAAATGTTTTCAGATAGACTTCTTCAATTAACTCCTAACTTTGGAAATAAATGCTTCTTTACAAGATTTATGTATTCTAGTTTTCATTCTGCTTTTCCATGGTATCACTACAGCTCTCACAGTGGTTGGTAAATATTAACAAGTATTTTGAGCAAGTTACATGTGAATTGATTTTTCTGAGAAAAAGAAGACCTATATTTAATTTTCCATTAAACATTCATTTTGATTTTTATTTCTCTTTTCTGCCGAAAGGGTTTAATGCAAAATACAAGTCTTAGCAAACAATGAAATAAATAGTTGTAGATTTTTACTATGAAAAAGGGGGAAAAGGGGGAAATCACTGTAGTGAGAATCTTGACTTTTCTGTATATGCTCTGCAAAGACTCCTCAGTCTGTTATTTCTCACACATATTTAATGCACATGTAGATCTATAACTTCCCACATTTCTCACTAACTCTCCCAACTTGTAGCCTACTGGATTCATGTACTTTACAGGTCAAACAACTGGTCACTACCCCAAATGACTGGCTGGAGTATTGAACATTTTTTTCTACCAGCACCTAAGACCAAAAGAAATCAGCTATCCCTTGCTGCTCATGTCTGGATTATTTTATAAGCAAATGTCCCACACCTGTCCTTAATTGGGAGGTGTTATTTTGAGCCTGGAAAAGGTCAGGAGGAAGAGAAGAATTATCACAGGTCATCTTTTAGATTTAACCGTGTGTTAAAGTGAGCATTTGTTCACTGTACATGTTTCTCATATACTACTAGGTAAGACCATGACAGAGGCTGGAAATAAAAAATGGATTTCTATTAAACCTACTCTGGCTTATTTTAATGTAAATAATAATATTTCATTATAATATAAAAATTTGGGGGCAAATGCTAAACAGAACATGGTAAGACAAACTTTTCTTCAGTTACTTTTACACTTGTCTTAATTATAGACCACATGAAGGGTTTTGAACTTTCTTGTAAGAGTAATGTGGGGTAGATGAGTTTTAAGTGGGGGAGATGGCACATTTTTCTATGCACTTCAGCTGTTGTATGGAAAATGGATTGAAAGGAGTAAAAGTATAGGTGATAATGCTTTTGATTAACAACAGTGGTGGCAACCATTTACAGTATGCCATGTCCTATGCTAATCATGTTATACATATTATCTCAATTAATCTTCACAACAAACTTGTTAGATTTTGTTCTTACATTGTGTAGCTAAGGGAACTGTGAATTAGAAAGGTTAGATAAATTGCTCAAGGCCACATAGCTGATAAATATAAAGCCAGGAGGAACTCAAACACAAATCTGGTGTGCTTCAAACTTAATTTTCCAAAATATACTTCTGCTTTTTATATTTGTTTTCCCAGTAGACTCCTTGAGAGTAACAACTCCGTTTTGAAATAGCAGCTAAAGACATACCTCAGCACTTACACACTCTCTGCATCCAAAAAAGTTCAGTATTAGTTGATTTAACAATGAATATATTTATATTAGTTTGGAAATGTTTATTTGGCAACATTGCATAGGTTCAATGTTCTGTATTTATTTGAAATTAATAATGTCAGATTTAAAATGCTACAAATTTAGAATTTTTATTAATTTTTATGAAACTTCAGAAAATTAATCTGAAAGCAAGATTTTACTGGATCTCACTTAGGAACAAAAATGATTATATAATAAACTTACTATCTCCCTTCAACAGGGTCAATGTCAAGGGTGTTAACTCCACTGCCATGGATCCTTTCAACATCTCTGTCTTTGTTTAACTCCAGTCCCAAAACCCTGCAAAACATAAAAATTAAAAGGAGGAAAAGGAAAAATAAAATTAAACAATAAGAAAGTAATTTAACATTAAAATGTCCTTATTTCACCAAAATTACATGGAGTCAAAAATCACAAGTAATGCTTAAATCTCCTAACATATATCCAAAGGTATTTACAGATTATTAAAGACCTTATACAAATTTTTAAAATAACAAGAGTACTAACAGTTACATGTAAAGAATTTCTCCTGTAGCATTGTCTTATCTCTTATTTAAAGGGTGTGTTTTATTAATTTTTAATTTAGATAGCTAGAAACTGAAACAAGTTTTCATGAACAAAAAGTTAAATTCTGATAACAAACTTAGCTGAGGACATCGAGTGGACAAAAGCTTAAATTACAGTTAAAAAATTCCCTTGTTTCTTAAGCCTTACAGAAATATAAAACGAGCATGTTCAACTCAACAATTAAGCACATTTAAATAAATCAAATTAAATATAAATAAAAATGATTAACAAGTACTCTCACAAATTAAGACGAATGAAATTTCTGATATTCAATAACTGTAAACCATCATTATCCTGGTGAGGACGTTAAGATTAAATGAGTTGAAACATAAGAAGTGCTCATAACAATGCTCAGCATATAGTAAGTGCCTAGTGAGTGTTAACTATTAGAATCTGTCTCAATCTTTTGGATGTCAAAAAGCATTTACATTAATTTAACCAAATGATCTCTAAATTCATTATTGATCAAAATAATGTTAATTTAGATAAGATTTTCCCCCCAGTTTTACTGAGAAATAAATGAATACACCATTGTATAAGTTTAAGGTATACAGCATGATGGCTTAATTTACATATATTGTGAAATGATTACTACAATGGGTTCAGCTAACATCTATCATCTCATAGAGATACAACAAAAAGAAAAAAAAATTTTCTCCTTGTGATGAGAATTCTTAGGATTTACTAACAACTTTCCTATATATAATACATCAGTGTTAACTATAGTCAATATGTTGTACATTACATCCCTAGTACTTATTTATCTTATAACTGGAATTTTGTACATTTTGACCACTTTCCTCCAACTCCTCCTGCTCCCACCCCCTCCCCCTGGTAACCACAAGTCTGATCTCTTTTTCTATGAGTGTTTTTTTTTTCTTTTAAGAGTCCACATATTTAAGTGAAATCATACAGTATTTGTCTTTCTCTGTCAGACTTATTTCCTTTAGCATAATGCCTTCAAGGTCCACCCATGTAGTTGCAAATGGTAGGATTTCCTCACTTTTTGTAGCTAAATAATATTCATTCCATTGTAAATATATACCACAACTTCTTTATCCATTCATTCATATGTGAACACTTAGGTTTCCTTGTCATGGCTATTGTAAATAATGCTGCTATGAACATGGAGGTGCAGATATCTTTGCGAGTTATCGTTTTCATTTCCTTTGGATATATTCCCAGAAATGAAACTGCTAGATCATGTAGTACTATTTTTAATTTTTTGAGGATCCTCCCATTCTGGTTTTCCACAGTGGCTGTACTAATTTACAAATCCCACCAACAGTGCACAAGGGTTTCATATTCTCCACATCCACTCCAGCATTTGTTATCTCTTGCCCTTTTTTTTTTTTTTTTTTTTTTTTGCGGTATGCGGGCCTCTCATTGTTGTGGCCTCTCCCGTTGCGCAGCAACAGGCTCCGGACGCGCAGGCTCAGCGGCCATTGCTCACGGGCCCAGCCGCTCCGCGGCATGTGGGATCTTCCCGGACTGGGGCACGAACCTGTGTCCCCTGCATTGGCAGGCGGACTCTCAACCACTGCGCCACCAGGGAAGCCCTCTCTTGCCTTTTTGATAATAGACGTTCTAACAGGTGTGAGGTGTTGTCTCACAGTTTTTGCACTTCCCTGATGACTAGTGATGCTGAACATCTTTTCACGTACCTGTCGGCCATTTGTATATCTTCTTCGGAAAAATGTCTATTCAGGTTCTTTGCCCATTTTTCAATTTTGTTTTTTTTTGCTATTGAGTTGTATGAGTTCTTCATATGTTTTGGATATTAACCCCTTATTAGATAAATGGTTTGAAAATATTTTTTCCCATTCTGTAGGTTGTCTTTTCACTGTGTTGATGGTTTCTTTTGCTGTACAGAAGCTTTTTAGTTTGATGTAGTCTCACTTGTTTATTTGTTTCTGATTTTTTTGGTAAGAGTGCTTATTCCATGTCATATCACACTGTAGTTGGTAGGTATGCAGTAACCAAAACCCATCCTATATTGGAAAAAAAGCTGTTGAAATGGACAAAAGTTTCACATCACGGCCCTGGTGTTTATTTCCTACCATTCACAGTTTGCTTTCTTTTGGCCTAAGATCCACCCCTCCCCACTCCTCCCCACCTTTGGAGTTCTTTCACTTGTTTATTTTTGGTTTTGTTGCTTCTGCTTTAAGTGTCATATCCAAAAAATCATTACCAAGGCCATGACAAAGAGCTTTATTCCTATGTTTTCTTCTAGGATTTTCATGGCTTTAGGACTTACATTTAAGTCTTTAATCCATTTCAAGTTAATTTTTCTGAGGGGTATAAAATAGGGGTCAAGTTTCATAAAATGAGAAGTTTTAACCTATCAAATTATCATAGTTTTTTTTTTTTTAAATAACAATGCACAGTGCTAGGAAAGGTACATACTGATATTTTTATGCAGTGACAGTAGCAGTACTATTAATTCCCATAAACATTTTGGAAATCATTTTAACAGTAGCAAGTGTCTGATTTAAAGATATACAAGTTCCTCTTTTTCTCTTGGAAGACAGTTTAGCCTTAGATTCAAATATCCAGTCTAACACTTACTACTTGTCTAACCTTGATCAATAATAAAAACAGCTAATATTAATTAAGAGCCTACTATTTGCTGACATTGTAATCACTTTATTAAGCGTAATAAATGGTAACCCTAAGTAGTAACTTTCCCAGTGGTAGATTACATTATTAAACACTTTACCTGATTATAAAACTAAGACATAAGTAATTTGCCCAAAATCACATAATTGGTTGAACTACATCTGAACTCTGACATTTTTTTCTCCAGACCATTATGCTCTTCTACCACTTTTAAACTTCAATATTTCACCAGAAAATAATATTTCACATTTTCTCCACTGAAATGTCTATTTCCTCTTAAAATATTTTTCCATCTTATGACTTTTCAAATTATAACAGTAATATTTGCTTTTTATAACAAGTAAAATAGTATCATAAAAACATGTACAAAGAGAATCATCCCTTCCTTGAACTCCCTCTCCTAACAGTGAAAACGTGGTCTCCATTATCATTAATATATTTATTTGATCAATCCCCCTGTATGTAACCAATCTCCCATCTCCACTACTACCCCGTCCTCCAACAAGGATGCTGCTTACCAGGCTTAGGCTTTGATTTCTGCTTCTCTCAGCACACTGATCAGCTGAGCTTGCCTGTCTGCACCTTTGGACTACCTCCTCAACCTGCTCAGCCAGTGAAATCTCACTTTTGGCCAACCTAATCCCTGCCTTTTAGGTAGCCTACCTCTACCCAACCTAAATACTTTAGGTCTGAATTGTTTGGGAACCAGAAGGAGGGGTTAAGATGAAGGGAAAGGGGGAGGGTACTACAATAGTGAAACAGGGGTGGGGTTTGCGTGGAAGGAGGCAAGGTGTGCAAAAAATAGTTAAAATGGCAGGCCTGAGACTGCTATCTTTAGAAAGGGCTGCTTGCAAGACTGGCCCTTTCCTGTCTTTTGGGATTTCAGGAGGGTTCCCATCATTTCTGGATAAGAATGGCTCACTGTGCCCAAACTAATATTTGGAGCAAACAATGTACATTATGAATACCTACATTCCTTCTGGGAGTCTGGAATTTTGGTACATGCTAAGCAGAAAGTGCCTATGTGGCCAGTTCTCAATTAAAAACTATAGGCACTGAGTCTCTAATGAGCTTCCCTGATAGACAGCTTCACCTAAGCTGTCACAATTCATTGCTAAAGAAATAAAGCTTATCTGTGTGACTCCACTGAGAGCTTGTGCCTGGTTTCCTTCACAAGTCACCCATGTGCCTTTCTCTCCACTGATTTTACCTTGTATACTTTTGCTGTAATAAATCATAGCCATGAGTAATTTGGTACAACCGTATGCTGCATACTGAGTCCTTCCAGAGAATCCTCAAACCTGGGGGTGGTCTTGGGGACTCCCCCCACACAAAAGCATAGAAGTAGAAGGAAGAGGGGTAGGGAGAATATGGGAGAAAAGAGGGAGGGGAGAAAGTGAAGGAGAGAGGGTGAAGGGGAAAGGAGTGAAAGAGAAGAGATATGGGGGAAGGCAGAGGAAATTGGGGTAAGCAGGGTAAGGGAA